CACCCTGCCCCTCACCACCCACACCTCCCTCACCCTGCCCCTCACCACTCACCCTGCCCCTCACCACTCACACCTCCCTCACCCTGCCCCTCACCACTCACACCTCCCTCACCACTCACCCTGCCCCTCACCACTCACACCTCGCTCACCCTGCCCCTCACCACTCACACCTCGCTCACCCTGCCCCTCACCACTCACACCTCGCTCACCCTGCCCCTCACCACTCACACCTCGCTCACCCTGCCCCTCACCACTCACACCTCGCTCACCCTGCCCCTCACCACTCACACCTCGCTCACCCTGCCCCTCACCACTCACCTCCCTCACCCTGCCCCTCACCACTCACACCTCGCTCACCCTGCCCCTCACCACTCACACCTCCCTCACCACTCACCCTGCCCCTCACCACTCACACCTCGCTCACCCTGCCCCTCACCACTCACCTCCCTCACCCTGCTCCTCACCACTCACACCTCGCTCACCCTGCCCCTCACCACTCACACCTCGCTCACCCTGCCCCTCACCACTCACCTCGCTCACCCTGCTCCTCACCACTCACACCTCCCTCACCCTGCTCCTCACCACTCACACCTCGCTCACCCTGCCCCTCACCACTCACCTCGCTCACCCTGCCCCTCACCACTCACACCTCCCTCACCCTGCCCCTCACCACTCACACCTCGCTCACCCTGCTCCTCACCACTCACCCTGCCCCTCACCACTCACCCCTCACCCTGCTCCTCACCACTCACCCCTCACCCTGCTCCTCACCACTCACACCTCCCTCACCCTGCTCCTCACCACCCACACCTCCCTCACCACTCACCCTGCTCCTCACCCTGCCCCTCACCACTCACACCTCGCTCACCGCTTACACTTCCCTCACCATGCTCACATTAACCAGCTCCATGTCTTCACCCATCCCTCACCTTCCCTTCCTCACCCCGCACCCGTGAACGCATCCAACTGCATTTCACTTTACACTCATTATATACAGTACAGCCTTACACGCACTGTACACACAACATCGCCTACTGTACACACCGTACTGTACACACACGCTACCTCACACGGCGCGATTGTGTACACACACACACATCATACACACCGTACACACACACACCGTACACACACACACCGTACACACCGTACACACACACATCGTACACACACACACCGTACACACACACATCGTACACACACACACCGTACACACACACATCGTACACACACACCGTACACACACATCGTACACATATCATACATACACATCGTACACACACACACACATCGTACACATATATCATACATACACATCGTACACATATATCGTAGATACACACACCGTACACACACACACCGTACACACACACACCGTACACACACACACCGTACACACACACACATCGTACACACACACATCGTACACATATATCATAATACACATCGTACACATATATCGTAGATACACACACCGTACACATAACACACATCGTACACACACACACACACCGTACACACACACATCGTACACATATCATACATACACATCGTACACATATCATACATACACATCGTACACATATATCGTAGATACACACACCGTACACATATCATACATCGTACACATAACACACATACACCGTACACATACACACACACACCGTACACACACACATCGTACACACACATCATACACACACACACATCGTACACACACACGGTACACACACACACACCGTACACACACATCGTACACACACACACGTCGTACACACACACATCGTACACACACATCGTACACACACACATTGTACACACACATCGTACACATCGTACACACACACATCGTACACACCGTACACACACACATCGTACACACCGTACACACACATCGTACACACACACATCGTACACATATCATACACACACACATCGTACACACACACACATCGTACACACACACACCGTACACACACACATCGTACACACACCACACACACATATATATCATACACATACACATCGTACACACACACACCGCACACGCGGTTGGGTGTGCACTGCGTTGAGACACACGTGGATGCACACACAGACGCAGATCTCCCCGCCGTAGCCTTAGCAGCCTGTCGGGGCAAGTGCTGTTTGCGGGCACCGATTACAGACGAAACGGCACAACGAGGGCCAGCACCACGCCCGGCCGCCTTTGTCTCCCCAGTGGCGACGTTAACCCAAAGCGCCAGGTAGCCGTCTATCACTCGCCACTGATGGTGGCCGTGGCCCGGTTTATAACTCGGGGCCTGCCGGGTTCGCGGCGCAGTGCGCGTGACCACTGCGCCACCGCTCCCCACTCGCACGCACAACAACAAAGAGTGGTCAAAGCACTAACAACTCACAAGATCCCCGCTATAGGCGTCCAAACAGACTGTCGGTGGCAAGTGGCGTTCGCTCACAGGACAAAGATTCCCCCGTACAGGCGACACAGACTGCTGGGGCAAGTGCTTGTTCAGCGAGCACCCTATGAAGGCCAGAACGGCACGCGAAGGGGTGGGTGGCCAACAAGCACGTCCGGCCGCCTTTGTCTCCCCCGGTGGCGATTTGAAGGCTGAGTCGACCTCGGGGGAGGGCCCAAGACCGAATTCAGAAAATCGTCACTGGTGGTGTTGGCCCGTGTGCGGGAATCGAACTCGGGTGGCCGGGTTCGTAGTGCAGCGTAGCGCTGACCGCAGTACTAACAACGCTCCCCACGCAGACAGGCAGACACACGTGGAATCCACCCCTCCCCTTGCCCTTCCCGCTCCCCATATTTTCCATCATCTCGCCCGGCTCACATCATCATCATCGTTTATCTTCGTTATCATCATCATCATCCGCTCCGTGGGAGGTCGCCTCGGGGGCGGCTTTTCCTCTTCCTCCCGCCCCTCCTCCAATCACAGAATTCCGGCGAATCTCATCGCTCCTCGGTGTTCGAACAACAACGAATTCACAGGCCTTTGTAAATCCACTCCTGGAACGTAGGCCTCCCCGCGATCTGCAAAACCACCCACCTCGCTCTCTTGCACGTGAATTGATCCAATCGCTTCATCTGCGCGCTGGTGAATACATCCAATTCCAGATCCATAAATCCAAGATCCTCAATCACAGATCCATCCAATCTCAGATCCATTCAATCCCGGGTCCGCATAACACCTAGGTACCATAACCATCTGACATGAATCAAACTCAAGCCCAATGCCAATGGCAGATCCATGATCCAATACCAAATCCATAGTGATCTCGTATCCATCAAATGAAAGACCCACATTAATCCCTTATTCGGAGGACAGGGTGGCACATAAGCGGTAACGCTTGAGCCTCACAGCACTCACTCGGGCACCTGTTTGGTGTTTTCATCTTCTTCCAACCATCGCAAAAGCGCCACACAATGTGACCGGTATTGGCCAAACATCCTAAACTTTACAAATTACCTGCAAATCACCCAATTGGGATTACGGATAGCAACATCGCTCTCTACTGCGAAGCACTTGACAGGACCCTCCTGAAAAAAAAGTATTGAGACTCAGTGAGGCTTTTCTGTGTAAGTGAGCGTCATAATAATATCACACCAGACACCATAATTATCTGATGTCAAACGCAAACCCTAACCAATCTCATATCCATAAATTCAATCCCGGCTCCATAATGATATCATCCATCAAACGCAAGTGCCACACCAATCACCGTGTCCATTTACGACCTCACGCCCTTCAATACACACAACCTGTCCCACGAGCGTGCTTTAACGACAGGCGCATCGAGACGAGATCCGCCGTCAACCCCGCTTGCTCCACGCGTCGTCCCTCACGGGTATTTGTCCCCCAAATGTTGCTCTGTGCGTCAAGGCCATGTCGCGCCATCATCCAAGGCCACCCACCGTGTGTGTACAGCACGTGGGCCCGTGTACACAACACACACGCGCGCGCACAGCGACGCGTTACGCGGACGCGATGACATTCACACGTGTACTCACGCACGTGCATTCACACGTTTACAATATGTATTCACACGCGTTCTATTCGCACGCGCACTCGCGTTTGTATCACGTGTGTACACACACACACGCGTGTACTCGCAACAACGCAGATGACGGAAGGGTTAATGCGTTACAGTATGATGTGTGCACGGCGAGTGTGTGTGTGTGTACGATATGTAAGAGGAGTGTGTGTGATATGTATGTAGGTGTATACATAAGGTGTGTGTACAGTGTGTAAGGTGTGTAAAAGTACGACCAACACATATGACGACACTCATGGCTTTGATGGAATCTATGGTGATGAATCATGTTGAGGATGCTCATGATGTTGATCATGTTGCAAATGAAGAGTATGTTGACGACGTGTATCACGATGATGGTTAGAATGTTGCTCATGTTGAGGATGACGGTGATTGTAATGCTTGTATGTACGATGATTACAATAATGTTGATAACATTGCTGATGATGATGTATATGTTTTTGTTCATGTAGCTGTTGTTGATGATGGAGTTTGATGCAAATTATGCTGATGATGCTGATGACGATTATGATTATGGAACTGCTGCTACTGCTGCTGCTAATGTCTGCTGATGACGCTACAGATGATGATGGTTCTGCTACAACTGCTTCAGCAGACTCATTCTGCTGCTGCTGTTGCTGATTATGATGATGCTACCGTTGCTGCCGATGGATGACGATGATTCTGCTGATGGATAACAATGATTCTGCCGATAGATTACGATCATTCTACCGATGGATGACGATGATTCTGCTGATGGATAACGATGATTCTACCGATGGATGACGATGATTCTGCTGATGAATAACAATGATTCTGCCGATGGATGATGATTCTGCCGATGGATGACGATAATTCTGCCGATGGATGACGATGATTCTGCCGATGGATAACAATGATTTTGCCGATAGATTACGATGATTCTGCCGATGGATGACGATGATTCTGCCGATGCCAGCACCCCTCACCCGCACGACGTTGGGGTGCCTCAGTCGACCCAGGATGGTCATCTCCTTCAGCAGCTTGGCCGCCGCGAGCCGGTAGCATCCGTCCGGGTCACCGAACTCCTTCACGCATGTCGCCATATCGTGGCCTCCCAAATCCACCGTCTTCAGCGCCACGGGCCCCCTCCAGCCCGAGGGTGATCCCGAGGGGGGCCCCAGCACAGCCTTGTACACGGCCTTCGTGTACCCGCTGCCCAGATACTGGAGGCCAGACACGGTGGCCAAATCGGCGCAACCCAGAGACCTGGGTTCCTCGGGGTCCCCCACTTTGGTGGCGGCGGCGGCGGCCGTGGTGGCGACGGAGAGGGGGGACCCCCCCCGCCTCGACAGGTGACGGTAGCCCCCCGTCTCCATGAGGCGGCGGTCCGAGACGCGCCCGCCACCCCACGGGGAGCCCCCCGCGTGGAGAGCCCGGAGGCGGCTCACCTCGGCGTGGCGGGCACGGATGAGGCGGCTCAGCTCAGCGTGGCCGCCCCCCGCCCCCCCAAGTGCGCGCACCCCCGCCCAGCGCGCCAGGGAGCGGAGCAGCCCCTCCGCCGGGGGCCCCTCCACGGCGCCGGGTGGCGGGGGCAACATCCCCAGCTCCCCGGTGTCCATCGTGTCAATCGTGTCCACGTTCCCGTGCCGGGGCTTGGCCGTGCGCGGCGCGTCCGTGTCTTCCATGGCGCCCGGGAGGAGCAGGAGGAAGACGTTGAGCAGCGAGATGAGGAACGGGGAGAGGCAGAGCGCTGAGAGCGCAGCCACGCGGCGCCGGCGGTGACGCATCCTCCTCCTGCGAGGCGCTCACAGACTCTACGGCTGGTGGGGTTGGGGGCTCTCACGGGGAGCCACCGGGAGCCACGGGGAGCCCCGAATCCCCACGCTCCTCCTCCTTCGCCCGGCTCGATTCTCGCTCGGGCCGCGTCACCTGAGACGCATGGCGGAGATCGTGGGGGGGGGGGGGGGCCCGTGGAGAGGAGAGAGATGGGGAGAGAAGGGGGGGCACGTGGAGAGAGAGGGGAGAGATAGGGAGAGAGAAGGGGGGGCACGTGGAGAGAGAGGGGAGAGATGGGGAGAGAGAAGGGGGGAGGGCACGTGGAGAGAGAGAGGGGAGAGATGGGGAGAGAGAAGGGGGGGCACGTGGAGAGAGAGAGAGAGAGGGGAGAGATGGGGAGAGAGAGAGGAGACGGTATAACGGGAATACTCAGAGGGGAGAGAGAGGGGGAGGGGAGACGGACGATATACGAGGAGAAGGGGGTGAGGATGAGGAGAGGGGATACACGGTGTGAGGAGGTAAGAGAGAGAGAGAAAAGGGAGGTAGGAGAGAGGAGGTATTTTACACGTGGAGAGTGAGGGGAGAGAGAGAGAGAGAGGGGAGCCAATGATGCACGGGGGGTGGAGAGTAAATGGAGAGTGGAGAGAGAGAGATGTTGACACGGGGAGAGAGAGCGCAGGGATTGACGGGCGAAAGGGAGGGAGGGAGAGGAGTGAGAGAGAGAGAGGCGCTCGTCACAGACACCAGCGGTGAGGGTGGGGTTGAGGGTGGGGGTGAATGTTTCGACTGGAGACTGTACTCGGCCTCGTCGCGGTAACGTCCCTCACCCCGGTTACGTGAGGCACGTTCTTATTTACGCGGGCCCAGAGCCTCCATTGCCAAACATGGCCAGACATTGCCCAGCAGGACACTCACTCCCCTGCTCACCTAACCACTTACCAAGCTACTCACCTCCTACCCAAACACTCACCTCCTCACCCAGCTACTCACTCACCCACTCACTCAGCCACTGGCTCAACTATTAATTCACCCACTCACCCCAGCCATTCATTTACCCCCTGCTCACCCAGCCACTCACTCAACCACTCACCCAGCCACTCACCTCCTCACCCAAACACTCACCTCCTCGCCCATCTACTCACTCACCCACTCACTCACCCAGCCACTGGCTCAACCATTTATTCACCCAGCCCCTCACCCAGCCACCCCACTCACCCCGTCTCCCACCCAGCAATGCCCCCCCCTCTCCCTACCCCCCGTGTCGTTCAAACAGTTTACTCTGGCATCGGAGGCGGGGATTTAAACATCCCCCCGAGCGGCGAGTAACGCGGCAAGTAACGTGGAGGGGTAACGCCGCTACAGGCGATGTAACGTGGAGGGGTAACGCCGCTACAGGCGATGTAACGTGGAGGGGTAACGCCGCTGCAGGCGATGTAACGTGGAGGGGTAACGCCGCTACAGGCGATGTAACGTGGAGGGGTAACGCCGCTGCAGGCGTTGTAACGTGGAGGGGTAACGCCGCTGCAGGCGATGTAACGTGGAGGGGTAACGCCGCTACAGGCGATGTAACGTGGAGGGGTAACACCGCTACAGGCGATGTAACGTGGAGGGGTAACGCCGCTGCAGGCGATGTAACGTGGAGGGGTAACACCGCTACAGGCGATGTAACGTGGAGGGGTAACGCCGCTACAGGCGATGTAACGTGAAGGGGTAACACCGCTACAGGCGATGTAACGTGGAGGGGTAACGCCGCTACAGGAGATGTAACGTGGAGGGTTAACGCCGCTGCAGGCGATGTAACGTGGAGGGGTAACGCCGCTACAGGCGATGTAACGTGGAGGGGTAACGCCGCTACAGGCGATGTAACGTGGAGGGGTAACACCGCTACAGGCGATGTAACGTGGAGGGGTAACGCCGCTACAGGCGATGTAACGTGGAAGGGTAACGCCGCTGCAGGCGATGTAACGTGGAGGGGTAACACCGCTACAGGCGATGTAACGTGGAGGGGTAACGCCGCTGTAGGCGATGTAACGTGGAGGGGTAACACCGCTACAGGCGATGTAACGTGGAGGGGTAACACCGCTGCAGGCGATGTAACGTGGAGGGGTAACGCCGCTGTAGGCGATGTAACGTGGAGGGGTAACGCCGCTACAGGCGATGTAACGTGGAGGGGTAACACCGCTACAGGCGATGTAACGTGGAGGGGTAACGCCGCTGTAGGCGATGTAACGTGGAGGGGTAACACCGGTGCAGGCGATGTAACGTGTCTGGCAAGAGGCGCTTTGTTCTCCGCGCGCGGCCGAGTCGAGCGAGAGGATTGCGCTCCCCCCCCCACGCTCTCGCCACTCTCCCTTCCCTCTCCCCCCTCTGACCCACACTCTCCCTCCCCTCTGCCCACTCTCTCCCCTCTCCCCACTCTCCCTTCCCTCTCCCCACTCTCTCCCCTCTGACCCACACTCTCCCTCCCCTCTCCCCACTCTCCCTTCCCTCTCCCCCCTCTGACCCACACTCTCCCTCCCCTCTCCCCACTCTCTCCCCTCTGACCCACACTCTCCCTCCCCTCTCCCCTCTGACCCACACTCTTCCTCTCCTCTCCACACTCTCCCTCCCCTCTCCACACTCTCCCCCCTCTGACCCACACTCTCCCTCCCCTCTCCCCACTATCCCTTCCCTCTCCCCCCTCTGACCCACACTCTCCCTCCCCTCTCCACACTCTCCCTCCCCTCTCCCCACTCTCTCCCCTCTGACCCACACTCTCCCTCCCCTCTCCCCACTCTCCCTCCCCTCTCCCCACTCTATCCCCTCTGACCCACACTCTCCCTCCGCTCTCTCCTCGAACTCTCCGCTCTCTCTTCTTTCCCAGCTCCCCCCCTACCACCCCTCGCTCTCCCCTCCGCTGTCGTCTCCGCTCGCCATCGTCATCACGACTACCGCATAATCACCTAATGACCACTATTAAAGACCCGTCATTATCATCATCAACTCATCATTAACTCATCATCATAAACTCGCCGCCGCTGCCGCCATCATCATCATCGTCCCCGTCTCGCGCCGTTTCATCCCAAGAAGAAGCGGCTTCATTCAATCTCGCAGTGGGGGCGAGAGAGAGGGGGGGGGGGGGTGCCCCTCCCCTCCTGCCCCCCCACCGCGTGCTCTGTAATTGTTCCGTTTTAATCGCGACTCCCGATCAGATCGGGGAGGAAAATCAACACCACTCCCCCATCCCCCTGCCCTCCTCTATCCCACACCCCCTACAAACAGAGCTTATCACAGCATCAGCGGGGGGCGGTGTGTGTGTGTGTAAGAGGGGTATGTAGGGGTGTGTAAGAGGGGTATGTAGGGGGTGTGTAAGAAGGGTGTGTAGGGGTGTGTAAGAGGGGTATGTAGGGGTGTGTAAGAGGGGTATGTAGGGGTGTGTAAGAGGGGTATTTAGGGTGTGTAAGAGGGGTATGTAGGGGTGTGTAAGAGGGGTATGTAGGGGTGTGTAAGAGGGGTGTGTAGGGGGTGTGTAAGAGGGGTGTGTAGGGGGTGTGTAAGAGGGGTATGTAGGGGTGTGTAAGACGGGTATGTAGGGGGTGTGTAAGAGGGGTATGTAGGGGGTGTGTAAGAGGGGTATGTAGGGGGTGTGTAAGAGGGGTATGTAGGGGTATGTAAGAGGGGTATGTAGGGGTGTGTAAGAGGGGTATGTAGGGAGTGTGTAAGAGGGGTATGTAGGGGGTGTGTAAGAGGGGTATGTAGGGAGTGTGTAAGAGGGGTATGTAGGGGTGTGTAAGAGGGGTATGTAGGGGTGTGTAAGAGGGGTGTGTAGGGGTGTGTAAGAGGGGTATGTAGGGGGTGTGTAAGAGGGGTATGTAGGGGTGTGTAAGAGGGGTGTGTAGGGGGTGTGTAAGAGGGGTATGTAGGGGGGGTATAAGAGAGGTGTGTAGGGGGTGTGTAAGAAGGGTATGTAGGGGTGTGTAAGAGGGGTATGTAGGGGTGTGTAATAAGGGTATGTAGGGGGGTGTAAGAGGGGTGTGTAGAGGGGTATGTAGGGGTGTGTAAGAGGGGTATGTAGGGGTGTGTTAGAGGGGTATGTAGGGGGTGTGTAAGAGGGGTATGTAGGGTGTGTAAGAGGGGTATGTAGGGGGGGGTGTAAGAGGGGTGTGTAGGGGGTGTGTAAGAGGGGTATGTAGGGGTGTGTAAGAAGGGTATGTAGGGGGGTGTAAGAGGGGTGAGTAGAGGGGTGTGTAAGAGGGGTATGTAGGGGTGTGTAAGAGGGGTATGTAGGGGGGGTGTAAGAGGGGTGTGTAGGGGTGTGTAAGAGGGGTGTGTAGGGGGGTGTAAGGGGGGTATGTAGGGGTGTGTAAGAGGGGTATGTAGGGGGTGTGTAAGCGGGGTATGTAGGGGGTGTGTAAGAGGGGTATGTAGGGTGTGTAAGAGGGGTATGTAGGGGTGTGTAAGAGGGGTATGTAGGGGTGTGCAAGAGGGGTATGTAGGGGGTGTGTAAGAGGGGTATGTAGGGGGTGTGTAAGAGGGGTATGTAGGGGGTGTGTAAGAGGGGTATGTAGGGGGTGTGTAAGAGGGGTATGTAGGGGGATGTAAGAGGGGTATGTAGGGGTGTGTAAGAGGGGTATGTAGGGGTGTGTAAGAGGGGTGTGTAGGGGTGTGTAAGAGGGGTATGTAGGGGTGTTTAAGAGGGGTATGTAGGGGTGTGTAAGAGGGGTATGTAGGGGTATGTAAGAGGGGTATGTAGGGGTGTGTAAGAGGGGTATGTAGGGGGTGTGTAAGAGGGGTATGGAGGGGGTGTAAGAGGGGTATGTAGGGGGTGTGTAAGAGGGGTATGTAGGGGTGTGTAAGAGGGGTGTGTAGGGGTGTGTAAGAGGGGTATGTGGGGGGTGTGTAAGAGGGGTATGTAGGGGGTGTGTAAGAGGGGTATGTAGGGGGTGTGTAAGAAGGGTATGTAGGGGTGTGTAAGAGGGGTATGTAGGGGTGTGTAAGAGGGGTGTGTAGGGGTGTGTAAGAGGGGTATGTAGGGGGTGTGTAAGATGGGTATGTAGGGGTGTGTAAGAGGGGTATGTAGGGGTGTGTAAGAGGGGTGTGTAGGGGGTGTGTAAGAGGGGTATGTAGGGGGGGTATAAGAGAGGTGTGTAGGGGGTGTGTAAGAAGGGTATGTA